TTCACCGCCGAGTTCGCGCCCTACGGCGCCCGCGGCATCTTCGCCGCGTCCGCGGTGCTCTTCTTCGCCTACATCGGCTTCGACGCCGTCAGCACCATGGCCGAGGAGACCAAGAACCCGGCCAAGGACATCCCCGTGGGGCTCGTCGGCGCCATGGCGCTCACCACCGTCGTCTACTGCGTGCTCGCCGTCACGCTCTGCCTCATGCAGCCGTACCGGGACATCGACCCCGACGCGCCCTTCTCCGTCGCCTTCAGCGCCGTCGGCATGGACTGGGCCAAGTACATCGTGGCCTTCGGTGCGCTCAAGGGGATGACCACCGTGCTGCTCGTGAGCGCAGTGGGCCAGGCCAGGTACCTCACCCACATCGCGCGGACGCACATGGCGCCGCCGTGCCTCGCCGTCGTGTCGCCGCGCTGGGGAACGCCGGTGCGTGCCACAGTCACAATGCTCACCGCCACGGCCATCATCGCGTTCTTCACCGACCTCGGCATCCTCTCCAACCTTCTCTCCATCTCCACGCTCTTCATTTTCATGCTCGTCGCCGTCGCGCTGCTCGTCCACCGCTACTACGCGTCCGGCGAAACCACCGCCGCCAACCGTAACAAGCTCGTCTCGTGCATCGCCATTATCCTCGCCGCCTCCGTCGGTACAGCGGTGTACTGGGGTGTGGCGGTGGACGGCGGGTGGGCGGCATACGTGGTGACCGTGCCGGCGTGGTTCGCGGCGACGCTTTACCTGCACCTCGGGGTGCCAAAGGCGAGGGTGCCAAAGATGTGGGGGGTGCCGCTGGTGCCGTGGCTGCCGTCGGCGTCCATCTTCATCAACATCTTCCTGCTCGGATCCATCGATGCAAAGTCTTTCATGAGGTTCGCGATATGGACGGTGGCGTTGCTCGTGTACTACTTCTTCGTCGGCCTCCACGCCTCCTACGACACCGCCAAGGTGCTCGCCGCCGAGGCTGCCGCCGCCAGGGTGGAAGAAGGCGGCCACAAGGCCGTGGAAATTGCCGGAGCTAGCAATTAATTAGCACAGCAATTCATTAGACTAGTGATCTGTACGTCCATTATGCTTCACAATCTCAAATTAGTTGATGTAGTACTAGCTACTAGTAGTGTCGTTTTATATTTGTTAAGAACTTTTTTGACGAAAGTATGGTTAGCTGGTTTAATATACAGTCTTGCTAAGTCTCAATTAAATCTTGTTCAACGCTATATTTGTAAGATCTTATATTAGATCCGTGTATAATTTTGTTTTCACTTTTTTCATTTTCTCTCTTGCATGTTATATCACTTGACCGAGACTTGTTTAAATCTTTAGTATAATATTTTATAGCAGTCTAAATCTTATACCTCGGCCTAGTTAAAATATTGAAATCTTGAAGGTTCATTTGACTTGCGTGTCAAGTGTGTATGTTTAGAGTAACACCAAGAAGCTCGATTCTAAACCTGGGCAAACGTCGGGCCGGGCCGGGTTTCGGGCCGGGCCGGGTTTCGGGCCGGGCTTGTAAAAGCCCGACCTTCATTTCTCAAGCTCGAGCCCGCCCCGAAGCCCGAAATACTCCATATTTTCAAGCCCGAGCCCGGCCTGAAATCAAGCCCGAAGCCCGAAAGCCTGGCCCGAATGCTGTTTTTTAGTACGCGCACGTGTAAGCCCGGCCCGAAGCCCGAAAGCCCGGCCCGAAATACAGAAAAATGAAGCCCGAGCCCGGCCCGAACTATCTTTCGGGCTGCAAAACAAAGCCCGAGCCCGGCCCGAATGTCAAGCCCGGCCCGGCCCGGCCTGGGTTTTTCGGGCCGGGTCGTCGGGCCGGGTTGCCCATGCCCGGGTTTACTCGATTCGTCCCTTCCTCTCCCCTCCCAAGCGAACGGACGACTAGGGTTTTTGCCTTTTGGCGGTGGTGTCGTCGACGTGCCTCATATTCTTTGGCCTTAGGGCCATGGGGGCATGGTGGATCTCGGCCCTTGCCGACGGAAGGGCTCTTTTATTAATTTTTTTTGAGTTTTGTTGGAGTTTGTGTCCTGCTTGGGAAGACGAGACATCGCTAGCTTCCTAAAGTTGGAATAAAGTTCTCCCTGCCTAGCCTCCGTCCCGATGGTGTGTCTCGCATCATCGGAGGACATGTGGAGGTACGCCACATGATTCGATTGGTGGTTGTCTTCAATGGATCTGCTCGGATCCGGTCTCCGTTCTTCTACGTTCGTGTGTCTTCACGCTTGATGCTTTCGACCTATAATTCTCTTCATTGAGAACGGTTGCTGTTTTTGATACGTTGTTCCTACGAGGCTTTAGTCCGACGACTTTCTGACTGTTTACTATAATAAGTTTTGCCTGACTCCGGCGACGGAGGGGCGATGATACCGGCGCGCTTCAGTGCTTGTAGTCGTTGTTGTAATTTTTTTTTATTTCAGTGTTTGTTTTACTGTCATCATTGAAGAGGAATAGGTCGAAAGTTTTCCCAAAAAATGTGTATGTCTAGGGTAGATCTTATTTGTCGGCATGCAGCAAATAGACAAGGCTTCACTGAGTGAGGGGTGGCTTTGCTGCTGCCGGTGGAGGTGGGACGGCCAGCGTGTTGGGTTCCCGACTTTTTTTTTCGTTCATTCAATGTAAATTGGCCTTTTCTCTTTTTTTTTGCTTGTGTGGTTTTTTTTCTTTTTTTTCTTTTATTGTTTCATGTCTATTTTCTCTTTTTAGATTTGGTTTTTTCTTCTATTTTTTTCCTTTTGCGCATTGTCTTTATTATAATTTTATAATACACGATAAATATTTTCATACTATATGGTGAACATTTTACCTATACACATTGAACTATTTTTAGTAAATGATGAACATTTTTCAAATGCTTTGTTAATACAAGATGAACATTTTTGTGATATAGAACATTTTTGTGATATAGAACATTTTGATAAAATTTTCTAACTATACGATAAACATTCTCTTAATATGTAGTGATTTTTTAATATACATCTGATTTCTTTAACATATTGAGCTTTTTTAAATAGTTTTAAAAATATCTAGCTCCTAAAAATTAATAGCCGATTTTTGGTGAAAACATGACTACAAAGCAAAAGAGAAAAAAAACGCTCATAGGCAGAGTGGGCCATCCCAATTGCCCTCGATTCAGGCATAGCCTCCTCTATCGGACAACCCAAACATATGGGCTGAATTTGGGGATCAAGTTGGGTGGCGTTTATTGGTCTGAACACATGGGATGGAATAGAGGGTCGGATTGGAGATGCTCTAAATCTTGTTAAAACTAGAGGATGCATTGTTGACACGGAGCAATGACAGAGGAGAGCGACGGCGCATGAGTGGGAGGAAGGAATTTGGATGGGTCCTGGCGGGATCCAGCGTGACGGACGCGTCCCGGCGACCCCAAATCCGCCACACATATGGGGGGTGTCGGACAACCAAGACATATGGGTTGGATTTGAGGGATCCGGCTGGGTGGTGTTTTTTGGTCTAGACACATGGGGATGAAGTAGATGGTCCGGTTGGAGATGCTCTAAATCCTGTTGAAACTAGAGGATGCATTATGTTGATACAACATAAAAATACACATATTTTTTATCTGTAATCAAACAAACTATTGTGTTCCATAGAAAGAATTCAAGAACCGGAAATGCCAGATAGAGCTTGAGCACCATAGAGCTTTTTTGGGGGAAAAAATCCAAAAAACATATTTTTAAAGTTTCAAAATATTAAAAAACACATGAAAGTACATATGTATACTACTCCCTCCGTACCTAAATATTTGTCTTTCTCGAGATTTCAACAAGTGACTATATACGGAGCAAAATGAGTGAATCTACACTCTAAAATATGTCTGTGTACATCCGTATGTGGTAGTCCATTTAAAATCTCAAAAAATACAAATATTTACGAACGGAGGGAGTACATCTTTGTAAAATTTCATGCAGAAATACGTTTTGGTGTGGGTTGTACAAGAAAGCAAAACCGTGTATTTCTAGGACATGCACTATTCATTATAAAAGTCCATCATTTTTTGTGCAGCTCACACCAAAACCTATTTCACCATGAAGACGTAGTGTAGGTTCATGTGTATTTGTTTTCAGATTTTTTTAAACTTCAAAATATGATTTGTTTTTTAAAAATTTCCAAAAAACACGCTCGAGCTAAAAATTTCCACTCTCTTCCGGAACATAATACTTTGCAACTTCAGAAAATGTCTACCATAGTCCATGGCTAGAGTGCTAAAAAGTGCATAAATTTTCATTATATATGATCTTAACATGGCTATAAAGTTATACCTTTCTTCAATTGAGGGGATTCCCACGAGTGGTTATCCTCCACCTTTAAAAGAACCCTTCTTGTTGTGACCAACGAAGCCACTATTTCTCATGCTTTATCTTCTCCGTTGGCCGGCCGCTGGCCGGGGATATTCCTATCCACACTCCAATCAATGAATGCCGGAAATGCAAACTGGTGGACGTGCTTGAAATGGAGGTGAATAACTGTACCTGAATAAAACCCAGACATATAGTTTCAAAGCAATATTGCTTTGAGCATTTTATCCCAAACATAATTAAGATTTCATTCCATAATATCCTCCGGAAGGAAAACAAGCCGTGCAAAAATCCAAGTTATTTAGGTATAGCAGGTGCAACAAGTCGCTAGGCGGTCTATGGATCTGAATATAATTTTTATTATTTCTATGTTCATTGTACTACCATGATTGAATATGAATAGATCAGAATTTTTGTCGCAAAAAAAAAAACAATTACCACCCACTTACGGGCACGACTACAACTCATGGAAAAGAAGAGCAGGTTGTATATATCAAAGGGGCCCTCTTTTCACTTTCCAACGATTCCTTAGGTGACCCACACAAATATTCCGTCTCAGCTCATTATCTCAATATAAATGCAACTTCTTGCATTGTCCATGATTCCAGACTGCCTTCTTGTCTTGTCATAATGTCTTGAGAGCTCTCCACAAGAACTTCCAGCTCCAAGCTCCAACCGGAGGCTTCAAGAATGGCTTCAGAACCAGAGGTTTGTGAGCCTGCCCATCTATCTCTATAACTCAAACCATTTTTTTTCTGTTCTCATGCTTGTGCGTTTTCTTGAGGGGTAATGCTTGTGCATATTTTTGATGGTTTATTAACTATCTATGTAACCATGTAACTACACTAGCCATTGACGCTTATGTCCTATCAGCTAGCACATTTTTCTAATCTATCAACATGAATCAATCTGCAGACACCACGAATAACCGAGCTCCATGTAAGGATGGACTGCAACGGGTGCGTGCACAAGATCAGGAAGACCCTGAGCGGCATTGACGGCGTAGGCGAGGTACATGTTGATCAAGCTAACCACAAGATCACGGTGGTGGGGATCGCTGATCCTGCGAGGATCGTCAAGGCCATCAGGAAGGCCAACAGGGTTCCAACCATCTGCTCACACACCGACCCTGCAGCAGCTCCGGCGCCACCCGCGGAAGGGGGAGAAGCCCCGCCTGCTGATCCGCCTCCGCCTCCACCCGCGGAAGGGGAAGCACCGCCGCCAGCACCTGCCGACCCACCGCCTGCGGAAGAGGCCCCAGCAGAACCCCCGGCAGCAGAGAACAAAGAGGCGCCGCCGGCTGAAACGCCAGCCACCACCATGATATACGTGGTGCGTGATTACCCATACAGCTACCATGCGTACAGAGGTCACTGGGCAAACCATCCGAGCAACATTCATGGCGTCCGATACGATGCTGCTGCACCATATTACGCAGCACATAGTCGTAGGCTCGTAGCTACAGTCCTTACATATCAGAGTACGGACATGCGGGCTCTTCAGCCCAAGAAGGAAGATGCCACTACCATCCAGCGGCTGCTACGGGAAGAGGAGATGGAAGCCAGATCACTTCGATGTTCAGCGAGGAGAATCCCAACGCATGCAGCATAGCATAATTGAAAAAAGAGGCCGTTTGCGTAAGGAATCTGTTTCTGTAAACCCTTTCGGCCAGAAAGGGCAAGTGAGACAGAATTTTGCTTTTTGCCTACAGTTTGTCTAATTCACATCTAAATGTTTTCTAAGGATGTCACATCTAAACTTTCACAAATAACACAGCAACAAGGAACAAAAAAAAAGATAGGACAAAAACAAATATAGTGGACATCAGGTTAGATGTGACATAATTATGTCACATCTAGATATGTCCTAGACATTGCCTATATATATACGATGGTGTAAAATGGATATATATGGTTTAGGTTTTTATAAGGTGGAGCGTGGGATTTGTGTAGAGGTGACACATGTGGGATAACAAGATGCTTGACTTGTAGTGAGAGATAATTTTTCTGGCAATAGTCGCTATTTTTATTGCCGTCCATCCAATAGAATCTCACAAAGCCGTGGTCCTCGACAAAAGTCACTCGCGAGCGAGCATGGAAATACATCTGTGTTGCGACGTAGTCCTAGAAAATTCTGACGAAAAATGAGGGAGATATTCTGGAATAGCAAATGTCTTCTTGACTTGGCTAAGGGCATCTCCAGCCGGCCCCCCAGGAAGCCTCCCCAAGGCACTTTTTGAACGCCGGCAGTCACAAACGGTCCCAGTCACGCCCCCACGGGCTCGTTTTTCGCCGGTATTAACTAAAATTACGGCCGGCGCTGGCAAGAGAACCCACAAAGCTGGGGTCAGCCGGGGGCGCCGG